TCGTCTATTTTGGGTCTTTTTGTTCTTTATACAAACTTTGGAATCAGTGTGTCAGTATCCACAAAATAACTTGCTTGGATTTTAATTGAGATTTCACTGAATCTACAGATCAAATTGGGAAGAACTGACATTTTGAGATTATTAAGTAACTCTATTATTGAACATGGACTATTTCTCCATTTATTTAGTTCTTTTTCTATTTCTTTCATCAGAATTTTGTAATTTTCATCATATATATCCTTATACAGCATTTCATATTTGGGGCACTAATGCAAATGTTATTTGGTTTTAACTTATAAATTCTACTTGTTCACTGTAAGGAAAGTGATGAACTTTAGTATATTAACTTTATATCTCAAAACCTTTCTATCATTATTAGTTCTAGGAGATTTTTGTTGTCTTATTTCAACTCCTTTGGATTTTCTATGTAAACTACCCTGTCATTTACCAGCAAGCACAGTTTTATGTCTTCTTCCCAATTTGTATACTTGTTATATCCTTTTTTTGGTTGATATTATTAATTAGGATTCTAGCACAATTTTAAAGAGCAATAGTGAGAGGAGACATTTTAGCCTTGTTTCTGATTGTAGTGGGAAAATATTGAGTGTCTCACCATTAAGTATGATATTAGTTGTGTATTTTTTTATCAAGTTGAGGAAGATCTCTATTTCTAGTTTGCTGAAAGTTTTAGCCTGAATAGATGATGGGTTTTCTTAAATGCTTTTTCTGAATCTATCAACATGCTTTAATTTTTCTTCTTTGGAGCAGAGCCAACCCCAGGGCCAAGGAGAAGCTTTCTGGGCACTGAGGAGCAGAGCTGTGTGGGTGCCACCAGTACACGCTCCTCCCCCCATCAAAATGAGAAGACATGTAAACAAGTCTCAAAACCAGACTTCCAGATCACCTAAAGCAACCCCACAGGAAACGAGATGGAACAATCTGATAGTCAACCACCTGGACTTCCTGAACTGGCAACAAAAGAGGATCCGGAAAAAATGAAATCAGAAATAATTTCTCAGATAACAGCAGAGATTATGCCCATAGTGCAAGACATGATTAATAAATCTAGAGAAGGACACAGATTAAAAAAATAGAGGAACTGAGGAACATGATGGAATCCCAACATAGGAAATGGAATCTAAAAAACAGATGCAAACAGATTTCCAGGAGATTAAAAACTCCTCTGAAAGTTTATGAACCAGAATGAGCCAATGTGAGGACAGAATTTGAGATATAGAAGATAAGATTGCAATTAGTGACCAGGAAAAGAAAAATTTCTTAAAAATAGTAAGGGACCACAAGAAATCAATCCAGCAGCTACTAGATAAT